TCAGCAGTAAATCACTAGCACATGCTAATATATCTGTAAAGGTGTTGCAGATAATTAACAGATGCTGTACATGGGAACACGGAGAAAATCAAGCCAATTATCAAGCTTATATGCAACTGAGAAATCATCCACAATGTTAAATTACCAACTGGTACTTAATCAATTAAGTGACATGTAGGAGAGAAAATCAAAGGTAATTTAGAATTCTATTTCCTAGTATATCAAAAGAGGTGGTGGGAGGGGCGGGGAGTCCCAAAGACGGTTTCCAGGAGCACCTTCCAGGACTGCAACCATTTCTACCTCCCAGGAGGGAGCGAAGTGAGCAGGCTTCCTTGGGAGCTAAGCTGGAAGCCTCGCGTGTCCTGTTGGGCAGTGGAGAAGAGCGCCCCAGCCCCGGCCCCAGCCCCAGCCCCGCCCGGTCCGCCCAGGGAGGTGGGGTTGGGGGAAGGGGGTCAGACATGGCCGGAAGTGTGATTTAGATCACAATGCAATAACCGATGATGTATTACAGAACTGTACACTTGAAGCCTACATAATTTTATTAACCAATGTCACCCCGATAAATTTCATTTAAAAATCTCTTAATTACACAGATTTTATATGCATGTAGAAAAAGGCTATAAGGATGCTCACAAATTAGAAACATTATTGCACGCGCGGGTAATGAGACTGAAATTTTTTGTGTCTTCATTTCCCACGTGTTCTGATGCTATACTTTCCCACAGCTCTTTAAGCACCGGAAAAGAAAAATAAATCGTCTCATGTCTAATTATTTTTTAAGTAACGTATTTGCTGACGCTCGCATATTAATGACGGCCTTTTTATGCCCAGATTCACTCGGCATCGTGCCGCTTGCTTTTCTCTTAGCATTTCTTTTAATCGTGTTCGGGTTTTATGTGAAAGAGAAAAAAACAAACAGTTCATAGATCATTCCCAAAATCCGAACCGTAGTTTACGGTGTCTGATCTGTTTCAAAACCCTCGATTTGTATATTTCGTCATCGACAAGGGCCTTTTTCCTCCTGAAAATCAACCTTGACTCCAACCTGCGTTCAGTGTCCGGGAGAGCACTAAGTAAGCGCTCTTTGTTTTTCTGGCCCCTGAAAAATTAAAGAGAAACCCTACCCGCTCCTCGGTCATAACCCTGAGCAAAGGGACAGAACTGCATCACTCACCGGCCACCTTCCGAGGCATTTGTGAACAAAATATTTAAAAAAACGTCTTTCTTAACAATAAATTGTACTAGCACTTTAAGTGTCCCATTATTGTGAAGTCATTTGGAATTCACCATAATAACAGTGATAATAAAGACTTCATTTGGTATTCATGTGGATATTATATCTAGTGCCATTGGTATTCAACGGTAATTTAGCATTAGTTAATGGGCACTTAAAATGCTACCCAAATGATAGATATATCACAGTACTTTGTGGTTCCTCAAACTCTATAGAAAACACTTATTTCACGAGTGTGAGTAAAAATCATTAAATGAATAAACCTTACCTTCTATAAGTTTGGGGTTTTGAAAGAGGGGACAATCATTTAGAGAACTTTAATATCAACATGCTAGAGATGGAGAGGCATCCGCATGAAAAACATTCTCTCATTCAAAAGAAGAAGAAGCAAACAAAGACAGTATACTTACTTTCGACTTACAGGTTCAAAGCGTACACTACACTGCGGAGTTAAAAATAACAGCCGGACAAACCTCCAACCACTAATGACACATCTGGACCTTCTAGGTGGCAAAGAAGGTCAAGTTCTGGATCTTCCCTTGGGGTAAATACTCACACTTCACACATGCACTGTTGCAGAGGGCAGATTTGGCTAGTCTGGCCGTTCACTCCCCTGAAAAAATTTGCTCTGGGAGAGAGAGGTACGATATGACCAGCTGGCTAGCACAGGGGACCAGGACACTGATCATGACGAGGAAATGTGGGTGGAAGGCACCCTTGCCATATTTTTCACATTGCAGAACAGTGAAAAAAAAAACCAAAAATAAACTCCGTTATTTATTAAAAACTAGTTTTCTATTTTACGTTACGCTCTACTTCATGATCGTTAGGCAGAGTGTCCTGGTTTATTTCTGAGCTCTCTCCTGTGAACGGAGGAGATTCTCGGCCCTCTGTTCTCTAAGCATGCAATCATAGCTGCTTTCTGGGTAAGGAACGAATCTGAGCTGGGTCTCAAGCGGACAACAGCAAGACGACCGCCCGCTGTTAACGAAAACCGTAATGGCTGCAGCCACATTATTCTCTGCCAATCCAGCTGTGTGATGGTGGTTAAAAAGAAATAATAAAATCACCAACCTCAGAATGCTTTCGCCAAATGTCTATGTTCTTGCGCTGAGCTTTCGAGAAATGGTCCCAAGCTTTTTGTCTGGTAGAAGCGTTGAAAACGGCCACAATCTGCTCGACTTTGGTGAACAAGGAAGTCAAACAAGACAAGTAATTTATGTTGTGATCACTATAGGGAAGCCAAGCAAAGGCACTAGGAGTCTATGGATGATGTCTCAGTAGAAATAACATCATCAATATCCATCCAATTTGTGCCTTTTTGTACTTACATTTTAGCAAGGTTGGGGCTGTCTCCCTTCAAGTCTGACTCCATAACTTTAGGTTAAAACGAATTCTAAATATGACTAGGAACGTTCGTAGTCATCTACTTCCAAGCATTCTTTAGCCCTTGTTTAAAAATGCGACTTGGAATATCTACACACCTGGAGCTAGGGATTACATGGGCACTGGCGGTGGCATGCAGATGCAGACACATAGACGAGGGGAGGCCTGGGCTGGGGGCTCGGGAGTGAAGTGGGGGTGGGGTGGCTGAATGAGGAGGAGCCAAACGGATTTCTCTTTCTCTTTCGGTCTCCATCTCAAGGACTAGACTTGACCGCGTCTGTGTTCCAAGTCGGGACAATAAGCAGTTGTGTCACACGGCCCCTCAATCTCGGGGCCATTTTTACTCCTTGGCTCCTTCTCCTTCTCCTGCCGTGCCTACTGCAGCCAGCCCTCCAGCCCTCCGGGCACAGGGGCCTCCGCTCGGAGACAGACCAAGGCTCGCCAACCAGCGGCCCTGGCACGCGGACCTTATTTCGACGCCGCGTGGCGGCCTCCACCGTTCACCGTGACCACACACCGTTCTGTCTCATTTCATTTCCGCCTTCCCAAGGCCCCCCTCCCCGTGGTCCCCAAGCCCCTTGGAGCTCCAACTCCATCGCCGTGGCTTCATTTAGAACGTCTGTGGCTTTCAGGCTTGGTGCTTCCAGAATGACAAACTGTTGAGAGGTTGTGAAAAAAGCTATCCAGAGAAAGGGGTGGGCTCGAAGCAGTGGATGTTATGGGCGGGGCCAACGAGTCGCAGGTCTGGTCTTGCTGAAACTCTTACTGATCTCGTAGGCACAGAATTAAGGAAATTATTCCACCGAACGAGCCATGCGATTAAACATAAACTTCCAAATATTTAGTCGGAAAGGCTCACTTAAAATGAGCGTCTCATAGATGCTAGCGCTCTGTCAAACATGAGTTTGTAAGAGATTTCCAAGGCTCTATTCTAAAAAAGGACATCGAGGCTCTTCCAGATCTCCCAGGTGTCCAAGGAATGTCAAAGAGTCATAGAATGATCTCCACAGAAGAAGAGTACCTGGGGTCACAGTTTCAAAAATCAGCACGCAAAACAAACGTGTGCACGATGGAGCAGAGCGATAAAGCTGATTCCATGCGCTTTGCCCAGTGTAAACATCTCATGCTAAGAAGCGACTACTTCTCCGTCTATGTGAGCACAAACACCGGGCTTTTGTGTTTACGGTTTTCCGCCTCAAGAGAATCCTGACTCCAAACCTCCTTACTTATCAAACTTTGTCACCATGTCACACGATCGATTTATTGCATTCAATTTTAATAGCAGGACTTGCCATCATTTTAGCTCACACTCTACTTGAGTGCAACGGGCTTCTCTCTCCTCACCTCACCTGGAGGAAGAGACACTGCCAGGCTAGTCACCTTGGGCTGCTCTGAGGGGTGACTGTCACCTGACCACCAACCCCCAGGGCTCGGCTGCCCTGCAGCATGGCTGGTGGACAGTGGTGCAGCCCACTGCCCAGGCTGCCTTCTGCACGGGCAGCACGGAGCAGTCAGCCCAAAGCGCGGTGGCGGAACCCACTGCCAGGTGAGATTATCTGGCGGCAGCGGAGGTGGTAATGATCGCGGGATTGTCACAGCGCAACCGGCCCCATTGCTTTCAATAGTAGGGCTCTTCGACTGGCATCCTTCGGAAGAATAAGAACCGCGGTGTCCTGACACCAGGCCTGAGTGGAAGGGACAGTAAGGGCGGAAGCTGCATATTTGGGTGCTGAGAGTCAAAATTCTGCCGTCGATCGGGGAAGGCTGTTGAGAAAGGAGAATTATGTGTTCGTATGTGTGTGTGTGGAGCGGGGGGCAGGTAAGAGAGACCAGTAATACACACTGGTCTCTCTTAGGAGTGAAGGCGGGAAGGCGCTCGGAAGAAAGACCCGATGGCCAGACTACCCGCGTTCGTGGGTCAAAACAGATCCCGTAATAGCCGCTCAAGTCGTGTACTAGCTCGGATATCCCGTTTGAGCGACGCGCCTGTTACTTAGAACACGCTGTTACCACATCCCAGGGCGGAACTCCCATCCATTCACTCATTCATTCACTCATTCATCCATTCAGCAAACGTCTGAGGTCCTCCTGGTTACCGGCTCTTGACTGATTGCCAGACGTACATGACTCAGACATTGTCCTTGCCCCTGGATGAGACTGCAGTCTCTAGGGATAAAGAAAGGCAAGCGGATGATCGCCCTGTGCAAGAGAGGCATGGACGACTCCTATGGGGACGCAGGAATGAGCACAGCAGGCGGAGTCAGGGAAAACGCCCAAAGGAGGGGACATCCTGGCCAGGCCTTACACAGCGAAGCGACGCTCACGCTCTCTGCTGAGAATGCAGCGCTGGCCAGTTCGAAGGCCGGCACGGCGCGGGGAAAGGACCTCGTGAACACAGCGGCGAGGGCAGGGGTGGGGGGGGGCGGTTGGGGCTACTTGAGAACGAATAAGGAAGAAGCGTATGTGCCCAGCCAGACCGTGAACTCTACGCTGCAGGCCAGGGGAGGCAGACCTGAGTACTTTGCTTGGGAGAAATGGTGGAGGCTTGAAGGAAGGCAGAGCCGGCAGTGGGGGGAAGATCAAGAAGTCATTGGACAGGGCAAGGTGACAAGACACGGTGGTGACGAGGGAGGAGAGGAGGGAGACCGCGGTGACTCAGGCTTGGGGAGGGCATCAGAGGCCGAGAGGAAGAGGGCAAAGAAGCCGCTCCTGGACACGCTGAATCTGAGGTGCCCGAAGGTCATCAGATGAAGCTGAAATACACACTGGGGGTTCAGGAAGAAGTCAGACCTCAAAGGGATACACCTCAAGTTTTCTGGGCCACTATTGACGTCATGTAATTGTATCCTCTAATTAAAAGCAAAACTAAATGTGATCAATTTTACACTTCTTTCCTTATTAAGTTCTATACTCCCCCCACATGTTAACAAATAAAAAAACAAAAACAAAAACAAAACCCCAAATTTGTGTAATTCAGCTCAGGTTTAAAAATGACTCTCACAGTCTTTCTATGGCTCGGTGTACTGTCGTCTTGCAAACGAAAGTTCCTAGGTATACGAAAGGTTGCAGAAAGAATGCTTGGATCAGCACAAATTCATCATCATTAGAGACAGTCCACCTCAGAGCCTCTGCCCTGATGAATGGAATTCAAAGAGAGTGCATTTTGAAAATCATAAATCAGGGTGACTACAACGGATGTCACAGGTAAAGACCACACACTCTTCGTTGGCAAAAACAAGTCCGTGAATTCAACTACCACTCACGACTTCTCCCGTATCCCTCCTGCTACTCATTCTCTACAGAATGAAGCTCCAAGCAGTTGCTAAATACATGGGATCTTTAAAACTCTACTTAAAAGCTCAGAGAAGAGGCAAACGGCAGACAAGGTGGCATCGACATTTGTTCAGAAATGCAGCTCAGAGAAGTTCTGCTGCAGGCAGAAGAAATTCAGATCGACCCGCCCCCCACATCCACCCACCCAGAGTCTCCGCCGCCCCTTGCGGCCCACACGAGCCTGCGTCAGCTGCTATACATAAACATTTTGGAAGTATTATCAACAGAAGGCGCTCTCAGTCAGAAAATTTAAATTTGCCCTTCACACTTTGCACATCTTTCCTCCCTAGTTCTGTGCTTTCAAGTGTTTTGTCTCCATTCCTTGAGGGTCCTGAAAAAAATTCTAAGTGACTGACTTTTCAGAGGTATGCCTGCACGTCAGTCTCAGATGTCATGCCAGGGTCTCTCACACACACCTCGCGGGTACACACGCAGAGCTGCGATTAAATTGCTCATCACTCTTGGCAGCTGCAGACCTCTTCTTAAAAGATTAACTGAGGCTTATTAAAAATTCGAAGAGCTTTTTTAAGCCAAATCGATTTGAACGGGGCAGCGCCAAACCGGAAGTGGTTAAGAGAGGGGAAGAGACTTTACAGACAAAAGGTGGAAGGGAAGGCGGGAAATTATTGATTGGCCGTAGCTTAAAGCCCAATTAGCTGTTCGTGATTGGTTGTCCCTAGCTTTGGATTTCATAATCCTGAGGCATCAAAGGCTTAGATTTGGGTTTTTCTAACATAAGTCACCACCACCTTAGAGTCACCTGAGGCTAATGGCCTCCTTGTTTAATAAATGTAACACTTACTAGTGAGTGTTACATGCAGCATATGTACACATGCAGCATATGTACACGTATAACATATACACTTAAATGTGTATGTCCCTCAAAATGTATACAAAAAAATCCATAAGTCCAAGTAATTTAACAACTTTTTCTTTTTGTACTTTTTCCCACCCCGAAATGTTTGGATATGTGCTGAGTTCAGAGCACGCTTCTTGAGAGAAAACTTTATAGATGATCTAGATAGAGAAGTGCTTGTCTTCAGTGAGGGAAGGAAAGCTCAGAACAGGACGACCGTGTACCCAGAAACGGGGCGACATAAATGGCTTCCTGAAGCAGGGCGCCCGGCACGGAACTCCAGATTGCTGGGCTGCACGACGCCCCTGAATTTTGTGCTCTGGACAGAAAAGCATTGGAAGCAGCAAAAGAGAAAGGTCGGCTTCCCCCGAGAACACAAACACAGCCCTGTGCCCTTCATGTCCTCCAGGCTGCATTGTGCTCACGGTTTCTGTACCTTCTGCATCTTCAGTCGCATGTCAACAGCTCTGAAAGAGCCTTCAATCCATTTAGTGTCACAAATACCTGGAGAAACTGATGAAATCCTTACCGGCAGCTGGCCCCCCTAAGCGGAGCACCTCGAGCACATCTTCCAAGCTTCATTTTCGTTCTTAATGCTATTTGGGT